CACGCAAGTGTTGACGCCTGGTAAGAAATCTGTGAGAAAAATCTTGTCGAACTTGAAAAGTTAATCTGTGACTATAATAGCTACACCTCATCCTTTGCGAACAAAACAAAGCTACTCAGTCTTGGTAGAAGCAAGATCTCTCAAACGGATCTTGTTATTTCTCACAGTGTTTGAACCGAATCTGCTGTTGCAGGTATGTCTCGTGGTTCGGGAATCATTCCAGATGAATTAATGTTTAATGAGTTCAAAAGACAATGCTTGTCCACGGAGAATTGGCTCAGTAAGTATGATAAAAATGACATGGAGGTTTGGGTCGAGGTGGCCCCTTTATCTACTTCTACAAGCAACAAAGGGAACTTCTCCAAAGTGCACAAAATCAAGGTAAGATGTCTGCCTGCATCTAATTATTTATGATGTCGTGTGTATATTGTTTGATTTGTGTGGTCTTTAAATTTATGGTGTCGAGATTACCTTATAAAATAACTTCAACCAGTAGTTTTCAGACTTTACAGACCCAGGGACCCCAACCCAGAATAGAAATTTTGATAAATTTTAGTTGGAACATTAACATTACCACATCATAAAATATTTAATAGGTCATTGGCTAGACATGATTCAATAGTAGTTATGAAAATTTAAGGGTGTGGGTGTGTGTTTAATATTATTAATTTATTTTACAGATCTTTTTTATGGACTCCGCAATCTCTTTTTTTCTCTAAAACATGTCCGTTTAATTGACATGTTTAGTCCTGTGTGTACTGCTGCCATAACAACACTAATGCAAATGCATTGTTTCCATTACAGTGTAGGATGAACATAAAGGATGTATCGGCTGCCAGCATGTATGACGTGCTTCATGACGGCATGTACCGGAAGACGTGGGACCCTACAATGCTTGAGAGTTTTGACATTGCTCGTCTGGCTCCTAATGCTGATGTGGGTTACTATTCATGTGAGTCATGTCATCTTTAAAATCTCAGTTAGTGAGTTATTTCTTATCTTATGGTCATTTATAGTGGTTCTTTTGGGATTTTGGTAGTCACCTATCACATTTTGAAAAGACTTCAGCACAGTGGCTTATTGCAGTGCAATAAGAGCTGAAGAAAAGCCTTCTGGGACCATGTTTTTGTGTGTATTTATAGTCAACATTATTGTCAGTTTTGTTCCTCTTTTTGTGTTATGGGTGTTTATGGGCCTGCAGGTCATATAAATTTCTTTCTTTTTTTTTTATCCTTTATTCACAGGGATCTGCCCGAAGCCATTGAAGAACAGAGATGTGGTGACCCTGCGCTCATGGCAGGCATCTGAAAATGAATATGTGATCATTAACTTCTCAGTGAAACATCCGGTACGTCTTTTATTTACTTACACCTTCTGTTATCATATGTTTTGTTACATGCATCAATATAGAACCAAAAATATTGCCTGTTTTTGAACAAGTTTGCATCCATCTTCTCACATTAGTGTAGGAGAAAATGTTTTAACACCAAATATTATGCTCATTAAATAATTATAATCTATTAATACAAGCATTTAAAAATTATACGTATCTTTTAATAAACTCTTGCTATCATTTTAGAAATTTCCCCCACGGAAGGATCTGGTAAGGGCCGTTTCCCTTCTGACGGGTTACCTGATCCAACCAACGGGGCCCAACAGCTGCATTTTCACGTACCTCTCACAAGCTGATCCCAGAGGTATGAACAGATTTCCTGCTTCATTTGAAATGTTTCCCCATCATGTAATTACATCGTAAGACTTTAATTTGTTGCCGTTTTGTAATGATTTTTTAATCTTTTAGGGTCTCTTCCGAAGTGGGTTGTCAACAAAGCATCTCAGGTCCTGGCTCCAAAAGTAAGTAAACCTATTTTGTCTCTTACTATTGTTTCTGTGCATCTGAGGATGCGAGTGTCTTTCTGTGTGGGCCTGTGTTTAAGGCTTGTGAAATCACAATTGTTACTATGGTAACCTACTGGAAGATCTTGTACTGAAGACGCTCACGCAGCACTTGCTGTGCCAATATTGAAACTTGTTTATCTTGTTCTGTCTGTAGCAGTGGCATTTTACACTTGCTAGAAACACCTTTAATAACTCTGCACCCCTCACTGAGTGTTCAGATTGTTATCTAAAGATAACTGATGTAGATGTTCTTCTGATTATGAACAGGAACTCAGTCTTCCATTGCATTGTGGCTTTTTTTTTTGTCCATTTCATAGTCTTGTGAATTATTACTGCATGTGGTAGGGCTGTTTGCAGTGTTCCCAGACAGTATCTCTGTCCAAAGGGCACTGATAAGATGGACTGTACATCATGCTTAGTTTATAAACTATTATTGAACACTGAGGTGTTTGTCTTTCCTTTGACCATTGATCAGGTGTTAAGGTTTTATAATTTTATAAGATTTTAGTCTCACGCTCATCAAGGTAGCATTTATCCGATCAAATATGCAGTAAAAAAGTAATACTGTAAAATATTACAATTTAAACTAACTGTATTCCTTTGACAAAGCTGAATTTTCAGCATCTTTACTGCAGTCTTCAGTGTCACATGATTCTTCAGAAATTAGTCTAATATGCTGATTTGCTGCTCAAAAAGCATCTCATTATTCTAAATGTTGAAAACAGTTGTGCTGCTTAATATTTTTGTGGAAACCATGATATTACCATGTTTCAGGTGTAAAAGGAGGAGGAGGAGGGTGATCTATTTGTGGATTAAGTGGATTGTTTCTTGTCTGGTTATACTGTTGTATTAAAACACAAATCAGGCCCATTAACTTTAGTTTAGAAGTCAGACTTTATAGGCAGTATTTCACACAACGATACTTTGTGCTGCCAAAAATGCTGGAGACCCAGACAGAAACTAGAAACAGAATGCATTTATAGCTATGCTTGAGCAAAAAGACTTGCTGCAATTTGAGTCACTGCACAGCTTGTAAATGAAGTAAAACTGGATTGCATTTCATTGTCTTGGTTACACAAGAATTAAAAAATGATCAAAGTTCAGTGTCGCTTCCGCTGATACTAGTGCCACTCCCTCATTCCCCTCTGTCATTCCACAGGTCTTAAGAAGCGTCCATAAAGCCGGTCAGCACTACCCTGCGTGGAAAGCAGCAAATTCTCCAGATCATAAGCCGTGGCTGTATCCCATACAGAGTGAACTGCCCATGATGGATCCAGCAGAGCTGTCCATCCAGCGCGGAGACTCGCTTGAGAACGTGGATGAGAGCTCGACCAGGGATGCACAAGAGAATGAGGACAGCAGTTAAAACATCCAAACGGACAGTTTTTAACTGGGTCAGTCCAGTTACATCTCACTCCACTTATAGCTTACTGATAGCAACATTCCTCCTTCCCGCTCACAAGTGTTTACAATCACTGGTGCACAGATCTGCACATTCCATTACCCATGTCTGAGTTTCTTTCGGCATTGTTCGTGCGAACAAAAGAAAATACTTTGCGGTTCTGCTTCTTAATTTAATAAAAAAAAAAACTTTTGAAGGTGGTTCATTATCTTAAATGAGACCTTTTTTTGCATCTTTATTACTAAATGATTTTGGTAAGGCTACATGCTATTGAATAGGGTTTTTTTGTATTTCTTTATAAATATAGTTAAACATGTGTAATCTTTGTTTTAAGTCACCATGGTAGGGGAGAGATTCCTCTCAGTGTCAACCTTTTGTGTCTGTGTATTTATATCTGTGTGCCTTTTCAAAGAGGTGTGTCTGTAATGGTATGAGTGAAAATGATTGACACCAAGTAACCATGGGAGAAAACCTGCGTTAAAGGCCCTGTAATATGACCAAAGCAGTCCAAGACACAATGTGGTATTACCTCAGGGTTTATTACTTGAAGTGGTATTAGTTCATTTGCCTGTAACAGGCAGAAGAAAACAGAAGGCAGAGGAATGCAATGAGAGCTTTTCTGTACTTCTGTTATGTATGTGCCGTTGAACATGAAAGAAAATGACATTAGCCATAACATGATACCAGTGGATCAAAGTTACCCATATTTTTGATAGATGGTTTTCTTTCTGAGGGAGGATGGATATGTAAATTTGTGTGTTTGATAACTTGAATTTTATGTATATGAAGTCCTAACTCAATGAAGGGTAATATGGTTTTATACTTTTAAAATTGTAAATAAATTGTTCAAAATGCCTTTGAAAACTCTTCCCTTTTTTTCTAATAATAAAATTGTGGCATCTTTTAGTGTGGTTACTAATGGCACTGCACCATACTAGTTTACATGATCATAGTCCAATACCCAGCATTTGCATATAAACAACCATCTGTTCCACTGAGCTCCAATAACATAGTAAAAGCTATGTTTGAATTTTGTGTAATGAAATGATGTAATTCAATAAACTGGTTCAATATCAAAAGGAATATTTTGCCAAAAAAAATGAAAATTTGCTATAAATGTACTTACCCTCTGCCCATCCAAGAAGTTTGTTTCCTCATCAAAACAGATTGGGAGAAAGTTAGCATTACTTGGCTTACTCACCAACGGATCCTCTGCAGTGAATGGGTGCCGTCAGAATGAGAGTCCAAACTGACAGAAACATTAATAGTCCATGAGTAACCAACAAGACTCCAGTCCATCTATTAAAATCTTAAGTTAAAAGTTGTGTGTTTGTAAGAAACAAATCCAGAATAAAGACATTTTTGGATTTTGATGTGAGAGGACAACAGACTGGAGGAAGCACGATTAAGGATTTTGGATATATTTTGGCAACAAGTGACGGTTTGAAGTTACGTTTTAATGATGGATTTGTTTCTTACAAATGGGCAGTTTTTCACTTTACAAGACATTAATTGATGGAGTGGAGTTGTGTGGATTATTGTGATGTTTTTATCAGCTGTTTGGACTTTGGACCTCATTCTGACGGCACCCATTTACTGCAGAGGATCCGTTGGTGAGCAAGTGATGTAATGCTAACCTAACCAAATCTGTTCTGATAAAGAAACAAACTCATCCACATCTTGGATGGCTTGAGCGTTAGTAAATTTTCATTTTTTTGGTGAACTATTCCTTAAATAGTACCTAGTATTTATAGTACCACTAGTCAATACAGTATATTAACAAAGCCACACTACCTGACATCATAAATGTAAAAAGATCTGAGAATATAATATTCCCTTCTTACATTTCCCCCTCCCCACTTTGAGACTTTTTTCATCATACAGGTTTACACAAAAAGTGCTTTTTCATGAGCAGATTGATTTAATGACAATTAATTAGTCAGTAGCAATGTGTCTGTTAGCAGGACATTAATCATTAAACAACTAAATGCTTTGCTTTGGAATACAAAATTGAAATGTAATCACAAAAAAGACCTAGTTATGAAAATAATATATGATATATTAAACAATTTCAGCTTCATTAAACAAATGCCTCTAAGTGAAGATATTAATAGCACATCATAATTTGTTCATGATGTAACTGCCTATAGTAATTTCATTCAATAAATAACACATCTGCCATGTTTTCTTTTCATATGCATGACATATCTCATAGAATATGCTAATTTTCCTAGAGGAAAGAAAATGATGAGAAAACAGAGAAGATGGGAAAGTATCTGAACATTTCACCAGCTGCATTCAAAACTGGCACAGCTCAAAACCACCACTATGGGTGAAGGAGCATGTCGTGAAGTGTTTGAAGATGATTTCTTTGAGCAGTCTCTTAGTCAGAGAAGATAGTTAGTGGGAGGAAGATGATGCAGGGCAGCTGAACGTTTCAGCTGCGTCACTGAACCAGTTCAGTCATGAAGGTCAGCTCTGCCACCTAGTGTACAGTCCTCTCCTTCTGCCGCTGGTAGTCTAGAAAAACAGACACACACATTTATGTCAGGTACTCCAACTGAATCAGTTGACTGAAATGTCACATTTGTTTTGCTTAATTAAGCGAAACACTTCATATTCAGTAATATTATCAGATTATTAGATACTATTGGATGAGAACAACACTTGAAATGAGCTGGACTACAGTCTCAAGGGAAAGGTGAATATAATACTCACTGTAAGGGAAGTATCGAACCTTCATCAAAATCTCTCTTGCAGTCTTTAAAATCTCAACAGCCTAGGAGAGAAATCAAGTTCATACCAATTCTGTTTAGAAGATGAGATATCCAGCTTGTTTCTGTCTTTCAGACTGACACATCAGATCTTACCTTTGAATGCTCAATGTCTTGAAAGTCCACGTCATTGACAGAAAGCACCTGATCGCCCTCTTGCAGTCCTGCCCTATGGGCATCTGAATCTGGCACCACCTGTCAAAACATTTTGAGCAAAACCATGATGATGAAGTCAATTCTTTAGCTGAAACATAAACGAAGAAGGTTTTAATTGGCAAAACTGACCTTTGAAATAAATATACCAAGCTGGGAGGCCTTTCCTCCACGGATATTGAAGCCCAGTTGTGCACCGGGCGGCTTTTTTAACACTATAGTGCGAGGTAGAAACTGAGTGAGCTCATTGTTGTAGTCAGGGTGATGTATCCGCTGATTATAAGAAAGAAAAATGTAAATTAGGCCAATATGATTACAAAAGATGTGTTGAATAACTGTCCAATAACTGTCACCTCTTGTGTAGGGATCCATGCAGGAGGGCTCTCATAGGAAGGAAGAAACACTACTGGCAGTTGATAATCATCGTATGGAATCTTTTGGTCCATGTTTTTCGAGCTAGACATGAGGGTGCGAGAAAACGTAAACAGTGAATTTATGATGACAATCGTCTTCGATATATTTTAAGTGTAAGGTTTCTTTTCTACTTTTAAAGACTAAACTAGGTTCCTTACAAAACTGTGAATATACTAATGGCTAACGCATGAAATGACCAAAGATTTATAATCAAAGGGATGTAAATTCACTCTCTACGGTTCTCACTGTACAGTGAGTACAGCAAGCTAGCTTGCTATCACTCAACAGTAAACACAAGATGCGCTGCACAATGAGCTTTAGGCATCCAAATTACCAAAACGCCGCGCGAATGAATTTACGATACAAACATTCTCATACTAAAATGAAAGACAAGCAAAACACAGCTGCTTTTGCTCGACAGTTTTGTTTTCGTCTGTCAACTCACCAAAAACTCCTCGAGCAAACCATTAGCCCCGCCCTCCTGTAGATCATGTGACCAGCACTTTTTTCTTTCCTTTTTCCCTCAACAAAAACTATGGAGAGGTAAAGAAAATATTGATATTGGGACAGTTTCACGCATAGTATCCAAAGACCTTTCAAACTGTAAATGTGGCCTGTCGGTCACTTCCCTGACAAGTCTCCTTCCAGTCCCGTTGCCCAATTTCAAGAGCATCCTAATATCATAGGGTTAGCTATGTTTCTTTCCATTTAATAAAAAAGACCTGAAGGATATGTTCAGTATTGTTTTTTTTGTTTGTTTTTGTAGGCAAGACTTTTAGGTATGTGCCTAATCAGAAATTGGCTTCAAATATTAACTTACTATGAAAAAAAGTAAAAAATAAAATAAAATAATAAAAATAAAACCCTGTCATCAAGCCCTAGTCTCTCCTGTTGTCCCCTAGTCTGGACTGTTTTAGTAGAAACAGAAGCAGTGGCTTCAGTTCATTAGCTGTAGATGTACTGTAGAAATGAGAAATAATTAACTAGGTGACACTGGCAATCACCCAATACTTCAACTGAAAATATCCTACACCTGTTTTTTTTTTAGTCGCTGGAAGTGAACTGAGTCCTTATTTTTTCAGAATAATTCCTCTTTGCCACTCTGATCTCCTTTTCCAGTGTGTATTTAGCCTGTTTATACAAGACATTATTCCCCTTCCTGTGAGCATCTTCTTTGGCCTGACGGAGCTGTCTGAGTTTTGCAGTGAACCATGGTTTGTCGTTGTTGTAGGTTAAATGAGTCCTGGTAGGAATGCACATGTCTTCACAGAAACTGATATAAGATGTTACAGTCTCTGTGAGCTCGTCCAGATCGGTGGCAGCAGCTTCAAAAGCTTCAAAGCAGCTTTTCTTCACTCTACCTCTTCTTGGAAAGACTTGAATGTCACATTTGAATAAAACATTACATTAAGAAATATACAATGTCTTGTTATACTTTGAAAGTCCATGCTTATTAGAAAAAAAGAAACCCAATCTAATAAGTCTATTAAGTATTCACATTCTATAAATATACATTATTTGTAAAACCACAAAATGAGAACAGCATAAAAAACATTAGCATTACATTTTGTTTACATTACTGGTCTTAAGAGCTATATGGAAACTCTTACACACAGAATATTACCTGTAAATTAGTATAAACTATATTGCATTTTTAAATTTTGTATTCAATTTCAATTTATATAAATGCCCTTTTTGTCTTTTTTTAATTACTTCTGATTTTTGTATTTGCTCCTTAGGCTATACATGTTTATGCATATGTAAATAAATAAGGGAAAAAGCCAAGCACGTGGGCAGAGATTTTATTATGCAGATCTTATTATATATTTTTTTTATAAATGATAACTTATTATATGTTTTAGCAGTCACATATATATTATTAAATTAAGACATAGCTTCTTTAAAAAAAAATGTATAAAAAAAAAAGTATACATTCATATACCAGGCGCTCTGGTTCGGGCTTCCAATGTCGTGATGACTTTACACGTTACTTTTCGCAGCGCTGATGTTGATGAACCAATCACAGCGGTTTGTGTGTAGGCCAGATATAATACATTTACAGTCACTGTATTATATTATAGGAGAATATTAATTTATGTGTCAGGCAGCATTTCATGCTTTTAACAGATTTAATGGTTACACTTTTAAGGTTCCCAATTTTGACGCCCTCTGCTGAAGACGATGGGAACTGCACTGGTGCTGGTCCATACAAAGCTGCAAGGTATGTGAAGCTCGTTCATTGTTAGCGCTTCATTAATACTCAGTCCACGGGATTTATGCCTCAGCATGAGTTCGAGTGCACAGACTGCCGAAGAGTGCTGAAGTCTGAAAGTCTGACTGGGATTACACTATCAAATGTACTTTTTAAAGCAAGGTAAGGTACCAACGTACATATTTAAAATCAGTTTGCTCTCTCGGACTTGATCTGTTCTGATCTAATATTACTGAATGGCGTGCGAGCTGAATATCGTCAGGTGTGTGTTAGTCATTACAGGTGCTTATATAGCATCCTTATAGGAAAAAACTACTTTTTAAGTAAACCATGCTACCATTAACAAAATGCACATATTTGCAAAAACAAAAGTTTAGAATTTTTGCAAATCACGGGTTATCAAGAGGTTAAACCGTGTTTAAGGGGAAAAACGATTCTGTTAAACGTTTACTTGGATTTGGAAATGATTAAAAAATTGGAAGTTGCGAATGAAGAAATGTGTCTGTGAGGTCGTTGTGTTAAACTAAATGTAACCTTAATGTTTTAATGCTCTTGGGTTAAAAAAAAGACATGTAAATGTCCCATGATGTCACTGAACTGCAGATCAAGACCTGAGGTTGTGAATTGTTTTAGAATGGGTTGAAAGCTCTCGCAGTCAATACGATGGTGCTTAAATAAAGAAAGTGTGACATCAACAAGTAGATTATCTTATAAGGCAGAGCTAGTGTATTTAGTTTGTAATATTGTATGTTCTAAGAAAATGGGCACATGCTTTTGTATCACAGCAGTCTGAAGTCTGTAGTTCAAGTTTAATGAAGAAAGTGATATTCAGGGTTTCATGAAAATGATCTTCGACTGGTTAATTATTTTATTTCACAACAGACAAGTCACATGCACTGTTCTCAATAACATGTGCCTTCACCTGGCCGTTTGATTTATGTGCAGGTTTTACATACAATTTTGCATAGGCTGCTTTTCTTTTCCTTTCTTTTTTTCTTTAATACTTAATTTGAACAATGAACATTTCTTGAAATAAAAAAATCCTACGCTTATTCTGAAACGCTTCAATAAAAGAGGTACCTATACTGGTGGTGTTTGTTCTTGTGCCACTTTTCATCAGTCAGAGTTTTTCTTTAATATATGAGCACATCCAGTGAAAGCCTGATGATGGAGTGGATTTGCTTTTAATGCTATTGATGTGCTTCTGTGTTTTACTAAGTTCACAATGTCTTTCTTTCTTTCGACCCTGTTGAAAATGGGATACAAAGTATAGTTATGCCTGTCTGCACAGAGGTAAAAACATTTGTGTTGTGCCTTCAGGCTGCCTACTTAAATGTTTTTCTTTTTTGTGCTCCTATTACAAAGCATTTTAATAGAAATATCACACATTCATTAAAAAAACCATTTCCAGATATTATTTTATTAAACAAAATTATCTACTGGCATTTGATAGTTAAGTTTTAAAAAATGTACAGTGTGTATCACTCATGTCTGTTGACCTTGTTAAAGTAGAGCAATTTTTTTTTTATATTATGGCTCCGTTTTTGAGATAAAAAACAGCTTCTTCTGCAGAATCTGGATGCCAACTCCTCTGTAACACTCTTTGTTTGGCACAGCAGTTCTACTTGTTTAAAATATAGTTTAATGTACGTATTTTATAAGTGCATTTATAAATGTATTTTATTGGTCCCAAATAAATTAACATGCACCCAAGAGAAAATCTGTGAAATGTTGGTGTAGATGGTTTAGAAAGTAAACGTTTTTGCAAGACCTTTTGAATAATAAAAAATCCTAGAAATTGGTTCATATGGAAAAGAAAAGACCCTTTGAAACATATCCAAGACAAAGACAAACCCGTCACTTTTGGTTAATTTAATGCATTCTTGCTGAATAAAAGTATTAAAAAAATGATCTGACCCTAAACAATTATTATAATGAATTCATGTAGCCTATATTCCTTTAGATTAAAAAGAGTCTTTTAAGATCAGGATGAACATTCAGCAAACTTTATCCAAAGGTTCGACTGGCACTGTGTTGTTTTTTTAAATTTCTAAAAGTACACAAGCACATACAAGGGTTTTAGTTATATTTTGGTTCTGATACGATTCTCCCTCCCTGTTGTGCTAACCACCTCCTTACAGAATTGTCTTTAGCACTTAAAACACTTATTGCTTAGACATGTTTATCTGATCATGAGTTTTGACATCCACTGAACCTGGAAAACAAAAAATGCCTCCACAGGAAGAACATCTTCATAACATTGAAGATTATATTTCATGTTATGCACAACCTGTCAAAACAAGGGGCAAGGCCTTTTTACTTGCTCCGAATAATCCTTAATATCTCATGTCAGTTGTTCATATAATTTTCAGTAGGACACTCAAATTACTGTGTTCCAGCATCAGGCAACTTTTGATTATAGGGTATGGTTAAAACAGGTTATATTTTAATACATATTTAATATGTACTGATACAGCTGTAGCAGTTAACTTAAGTTGGGAAGAACATTCCATCCTTTTATTAGATTTGAGTGATTGATATGAAATCTTTCCCACAGGTCGTTTTATAGTTTTCTGCTTCAGGGCTTTTGAAAGCATTGCCACTCCTACATAATTACATTTAACCTTTCCATATCTGCTGTGTCATGTGACTGGAGCCTATATTTTTCTCTCTCACCCTTATTCAAGGACTTTTAACTAACTAAGCCAGGCATTGTGAGCTCAGTTCAGTTTTGAGTTAAAGAACAGGTTTCCTTGCATAACCACCACACTTGTATTCTCTTCCCTCCTACTTGGTTTCAGGTGTGAAGCAGTGAGTCATTCCATATCAAACACCTGCACCAGTATAAATGAGTTAACCTCACTACATCCCGGACAAGACCCCCTATTCATCTATATACATTCAGCTGGAATCATTAGATGTGGAAAAGAACACAATGTTCTCGATCGGCCGAACCTGCCTCAGAGGAATCTACAGTTGTCAATGGAACAGTCAAAACAGAAGACCAAATGTGAGATTTTATTCTTTACACTTTGCATTGCAAAATGAAGTTGCACATCAATGATGCACCCATTATCTC